TCGTTTAACGATCATTTTCAAAAATGATTAACAACCCTAACTGCAGGTGTACTTTACACATTTGTGCTATATAACATTTTGGACCCTGGAACACCTTTTTTCTCCATAAAAAAATCTTGAAAATTATTTGATTTTCTTTAAATCAATTCTCTACAACCTGTCATGCATTCTTGAGATAATTTTAGCAACGCTTTATTTACATTCACAAGTTCATTTTAACATAAATTTTTAAAAAAGAAGAAATTGCAACGGATGAGTCCAGGGATCATACTGTATTATTGTGATGTACTGTGTATAATTCATGAACATGTACACGAATTGTACACTTTAGACTCCTTTTCAGACTCCAAGGGACTAAACAAATTCATGCCGAGGGATACTCTTACTTCCCTTCTATTCTAATCTGTGTTTTAAATGCATTAAAACCAGCTAGGTTATATAGTGTAAAGACTTATGATCACGGTGGACTAAGCCATGGTGTGGTCGGTCAAAGAGGCCTAGGATTAGGCCGGGTACAGCTAGGTTATACAGTGTAAAGAATTATGATCACGGTGGACTAAACCATGGTGGGGTCGGTCAAATAGGCCTAGGATTAAGCCGGGTACTGTAAAACCAGCTAGGTTATATAGTGTAAGGAGTTATGATCACGGTGGACTAAACCATGGTGGGGTCGGTCAAAGAGGCCTAGGATTAGGCCGGGTACAATGAAAATTTCCCTGTATGATAATTGAAGGACTGCTTCATATACAATAATACCTACAGTCTATACTAGTTATACATTTGTGGAGTTCCCCCCCCCCTCTCTCTGGCATCAATTTACATTTTTTGGAAACCTTGTTGCTTGTACGTATATTTTATATAGATATATATTTATTTCCTTGAAAAAGTTTAAGAAAATGTTAGAAATGTTCTCATGAAATATTTCATTCGCATATTCTATATCCGACATGAAATAAGATATTGAATTGTTATTCTTGGAAGAAAGAAAATTCCTGTAACATGTAATTGTAAATGACAGGAGATATTTTGATTTATAGAACACACTTGACCTAAAAAGATTAATACATAAATAGAATCTGTTCTTATTTTGAAGTCAATGCATGTATTTCCTTTTCTTAAGATTTTAAAAAAATTCTAAATTTTTTTCTCAACATTTAAAAAAAAGTTTTAACCCCCACAACCCCCCCCCCCCCCCCCCCCCCCACCCCTCAAAGATGTTTAGTAATCTAAAAAGCCCAAACGCATTTTTTTCATAAACACTCTGTAGTTAAAAGCACATAATTATGAGACAAGACACCGTTTTAGTGTTTTGCGAGGTGCACATATTCCAAAATGGTCCATAATCCGGGTTATTAACAGATTTCAGAATTGCTCTACAGTCATTTTACCTTTTAATTGAAATAGTATAAAACTGTAGGTGTGCTGTACAGGGAAACCACAAGGATGCAAGACTGTAAAGATGAATTAAAACTCTCTAAATATGAGGATTTCAAGGATTAATTAAGTCTTTGGTCTTAGTATGAAGGCATTTTTATTAATCAATGATGAGAAAACGACAGAAACAAGTTTACAGTTGCAGGGAATCATAAATATTAGGAACAGTATCTCCATTCCCTACAGTTGTCTCTGAAGTCTCATCCTTTGTGGGAATTCCTCTACATGTAGATTTCCAGAGACATAATTCAAAGGGAGATATGATACAACTGTATTTCTAGAAATATCGATAAATCTAGAAATTTAAATGAAGTTTGAACATTGTTTAGATCAAAAGCGAATAAACATTGAAGGATAAATAACCTAAACATTTATATAAATATTACCATCTTATCTTGTCTATCAGACATAAAAATGGCACAAGTTAAAGATTAGACTACAAGTTACATCTATATATATATTTATAAATACTAATTACTTGTCTGTTTTTGGTCCGTTTGTATCCACTAAACTTCAAAACGGCTGAACCGACCCTGCCCAAATCTTAGGAAAAAACTCACATGACTTCAGGGAAGGGTCAAAGTTTAAACAAATTTCATTAAAACAATTCGATTTTTCAAAGTTCACAGGGAAAAAAATCGATAAATCTGCGAATTTTTTTTTTGTTATCACTTGATATTTTAAGTTAAGAAAAATGGCGCAGATCGACAACAATTAAAACTTAAAATCAAAGATGGTGCAAAGCGCCCTAGAACTGGAAGCCTAGTTTCGTAAAGAAAAGTATGGAAAAAATAAATATTATTTTAGTACAAAAGAAAAGGAAGTGACGGGTGGTTCGATTCGCAGTATTTACCCTTAATCAAAACCTAAGTTAAGTTTTCGTTTAGAAAAAATGATTTCTTAATCATCCTTGATCCAAAATATGGTTAAAGGGTATTGTTGTTAATCTGACATACCACTATAATTAAGGTTAAGTTTTGAACAATGAATTCCTTGAAATTTCATGCTTAAAGGTTATGTTTTGATGAAAAGTAAAAAGAAGTTCAGATTTGATATTTTCTGTAGAAAAAAATATTTCTTTGAAGGACTCTCAATGAAACACCGAGCCGGATCTTTTATGTTAATAAGAAAAGTCAGCTGATGTAATTAGTAATTCTTAGATATACTGTTACCATATAAAGATGGTATGAAATAAAGGAAAAAACTGATTTGAGTAAATTTACCGAGTATAGGAAAACAAGTATTTACAAGTAAAAAAATACAACAAATAAAAGATGCTAATGAATCATGAAAAGCCCGAGCTCTATGACGGACTCTCCATCTTTCATTCACCTCTTAATCTTCCTTCTTCAGACTTCTTCAGACTTCCTCAATACTGCTGATCGATTCGGCTTATACAACTGAAGCGATGTTGGTAGGTGGTACTACAGTTTCCTCAGATTCACAGGTTCTCTTTCCCTGGGATCTTGAACCCATGGTTGGAGCTCATCTTCCGTTGCTGAGATTTACTGTTGCTCAGGACTCAGGCCGTCCGTCATAACACCATGGGGAGTTGGAGTTGGATTTTCTCCATCCTCTCTTGAAGAGAGCCAGTCCCCATCTGACTTGTCCTACCTCGACCTCGTGGAGTCAGATCATTGACTTCGTGGAGTCAGATCATTGACCTGGATTACAAACTAGAATGCATGGTTTTTGTTTGGCTTGTTCAAAAGTACAAAACGTGATCTTTTGTTCATTTCCAGCAGCTAGGTATTTTGAATACAACTATACATGAGGCGGTTAATTATCCGCCCTACTGCTAACATAGACTACAGTCATTTACATGTAAGCTGTAAGCTCTTCATGTCTACAATACATCTATTTTTAAAATATTTTTCTTTTTTCAAAGGAATAAAAAGAACCTGTAAAATCTTTCCCTGGGATGTTTAGAAAGATGAAAATTTCCCTGTATGATAATTGAAGGACTGCATCACTTCTAAGCATATTTTCTTTATAGTTTCCCACTATTTTTATGGATAAAAAAGCTAGTTTAATACTAATCAGCAGATTACTTAATGGAGGGAGGGATGGAAACCACGCCAGTTTGTAATCCCAATATCTGCAGGGTACTGTTGGGTACTGCGGGGTACTTTCAAATCAAATCAAATCATTTATTGGGCCACAAGTTAACAACATTCATAGTAATGACTATACAATTATATTTATATATTTTGTGGCCGGGGAGCTACTTTGGGGTACTGTGGGGTGCTGTGGGGTACTGTGGCTACTGCAGGGTACTGGAGGTATTGTGGGGTACTGGGGGGTATGGGGGTACTTGGGAGTAATATAGGGTAGTGGTAGATACTCTGGGGTACTATGTGGTACTGTGTTGTACAGTGGGGCCACTGCATGGTACTGCTGGTTACTGCTGGTTACTTTTGGGTACTGGGTGGTACTGGGGGGTACTGGGTGGTACTGGGGTGCACTGAAGTGCACTGTGGAGTACTGTGGGGTACTGCATGGTACTACTGGGTACTCGGGGGGTACTAGGTGCATACTGGGGGAAGGAGGGGTACTGGGGGTACTTTGGGATACTGCAAGGTACTATGGGTACTGGGGCTACTTGGGGTTGCTGAGGGGTAGTGTGAGGTACGTACCCCATAGTACCCCACAGTACCCCACAGCACCCCACAGTACCCCAAAGTACCCCGCAGTACCCAACAGTACCCAACAGTACCCTGCAGATATGGGGATTACAAATTGGCGTTGTTGCCATCCCTCCCTCCATTAAGTGGTCAGCTGATAATATTAAACTAGCTTTTTTGTCCGTGAAAATAGTGCAAAACTATAAAGAAAACAGCCTTAGAAGTGCTTACTTATATTTTTTTATTAAAATAAAAAATTCTGTTTGGTTTCTGTACCCCCTCCCCCCAGTAAAGCCCAGTACTTTGCAGTACATTGTAGTACCCTGTACCCTAAAGCACTCTGTATTCCCTGTTACAATCAGTTTCCATTAAAAGATTTTCGAATTACAAATTGGTGTTTTTGCCATTCCTCCCTCCAATTAATCATCAGCTGTTTAGTTTTAAACCATCAACAGAATGTCTTTTATACTGTTTTACACAAATGAAAATAATGCAAAACTAGAGTAAAGTGCAACCCAGAAAAGCTTCTTTAAGTTCTAAATATTTTTGTTCAAAATAAAAATTCTGTTTGGTTTGGCAACTTTTTTTTGCAGAATCTTTCCTACTTTCTGAAAGGTTTTACATCGGTATGTTTAAGGATATCTACTCGATATAAAGCAATATTTATTAATACTTATTTTGACTCAAACTCTTAACTAAATGAATATAGAAAAAATATGCCGGTTTAAGAAAGTTTTAGATAGATATTTGCAATCATCCAGAACAAAAAGTTTTATCAAAAATTAAACTTTAAAAGTTTTATAGAAGTTTTTAAAAATATGCAAAAAAATCATTTCTGACACCCCTAGGCTTTCATCTTTCTGAACATCCCAGGGAAAGATTTGACAGGTTCTTTTTGATATGTTTTCAGAACACTCATCAATCCAATTCATTACAAAGATGTTGTTGCATACAAGAGTTTTTTATTTGAAGGACATGAATGTTTTAGGCCTAATCTTAACATTGAATATTGCCATTTTTCAATACTTAAATCACAATTTTTATTTTAAAACCGGACATAAATCTTCATTGTAGTTTAGATCAATTTTTGAATGATGTTTGCGCCAAAGTTTGATTGAAAGAAGTTGAAATTAACTTCCCCATCTTATCCTCCTTGAAGATACAGAATGTTTGTCGGTTGCAAAGATTCTCAGGTGCAATCCCCTTTTCCAGTAGTCCTAGGTAGTTCCACTCTGGGTATCCAGTTCCTTCAATCTTACCAGCCCAGAAGAACCAGCCAAACCCCTTTTCTCCATATTCGAAAGCATCTATTTGAGCGATAAACCAAAGCCGAAGAAACTCAACATAGCTGGGGTCATTAAAGTCCCACGGACCAGCGTTCCCAAGAGACCATTCCCCGGTAAATGTCCAGTGATACCTATCCTTTACATCTAAAGCATATTTGCAGGATTCATCAAAATGAATTCCTTTTCCAGCATCATCGTTGTGTATACTATTCCACCAATCTCCAAAGCACTGATAAACATGCATATCAACAGAAACACTCTGAAATTCTGGAGCCACCATTAAACTATCAAATTCCCAACCTTGCCTGAAGGCCTGCTGAATGTTAACCCCAATATCCCAGTCTGGGAATACCTCCCTGATATTCCTGTAAGCATCAGGGTAGTAATCATACCGACAAGTATTCCAAATGTCTTCCAGCCATCCCCCAGGCTCATTTAAAACACAGAATGAGTAAACTGTTCTTCGCTTAAAATAATTCTTATTCAACCAATCCTTCATAGTCTCTGCTATCATTCTAATATGCAGCTTACTTCTCCCAACCTGACCCCACTCCACCCAATGCGGATCTCCAGTCCGTCCGCTGTTATCAAACCCATTCTGAGATCCTGGAGCTGTATGAAGATCTATATTTGCACTCATATCAAACTCATCCAACCACTCCATCATTCTCTTGAGATAAAACAGAGGACTGTTTTCATCATTCTCGTTCAGATTTGGTTCTGGATAAGGTTCATCTGAATCCACCTGCCAGAACCAGTACGGAACAGGTATACGGACATGACTTATTCCTGAGTCAGAGAGAAGTTTAATCTCCTGCTTGGCGTAGAATGAGTCCCAATGAATTCTTAATCTTTCTTTGTAAAAGATATCCTTCCCTGCCTTGACCGCTAGATTCCATTCATCATGTATATCGTCTCCATATCTAATCTGGAAATCTTTAAACAATGTTGGTGTCATCCATTCCTCCAGAACTAGCCATCCTCCAAGGTTCACTCCACGTATTTTTCCATCATTGCAATTCAAGCCTAAATTTACGAATAATTAGTAATTATACCGAACATTGTTTTAAAAAGAAATATTTACACCAATATTATAAAATAATGACATACTGAAAAATAAAATTATTTTGATTATTTTATTTAAAAGGGATTGAGTCTTTGCCACAAACCTTGATTTTCTAATCACTATATCTTTGAAATCTGATTTTGTTAACATTTTATATATCAAACTTTGATTATTTGATTTAACAGAATGAATCTAGAATATCTAAGGTTGGTTTGCAAAGATATAGGGATTAGAAAATTATAGTTTGTGACAATTGAGTCAATTCCTTTGTCAGTCCAATTAACAAAATATTTTTTAAATATTCATAACATTCATGAACTCTCTCTTCATGTCAAGTCCGTTCACCTTTTTTTCGTCAATACTAGTTAAATGTGTAATGATTATTATTTTTTAATGTTTTTATCATTATTACCAGAAGAGAGACTTAAACAGAAGATAAATATAAGATAGATAGATATAACTATCTTTCTCATGCTTAATCTTCCAATAGAAAAATTCAACTGTTTATAAGTCAGCTGTCTACAAATAATTATTAACTTATCTATAAATGATAATAATGATTAAGCAAGTTTTGGTAAATAATACTCTAACGACTAATAAACATTGTGATAAGAGGGTTTTGGAGCAGTTGTGTGTATTTGCAATTGTATTTTTTTTTAAATGAGCTGATAAATTGTAATACTATTGCTTCCAGAACTATCATTTTATGATTCAAATTCGAAGTTTCCTGAAAAATCAAAAACGATATCGGTATATTCTAAATTATATAAGGGAAGGTCGGAATATTATAAAAATGTCGACATTTGTTGTCTAGAAAACAACTGGCAAATGATTAATTGATTTATTTATTTAACTTCTGTAGTAAATCTTCTCTTGAAAGACAAATATAAAAAGTAAAGAAGAAGATGAAATAGGAATTTGATGAAAACATATTGAATAGAAAATAGATAATTTAGAAAGATATATAAATCAGATAAAGGGGAAGGATATTGGAAATTTGTCAATATTGATAGATTAGATAATACTGAATCAGAGAACTGGAATATAATACTAATAGATTAGATAATACTGAATTAGAGAACTGGAATATAATACTGATAGATTAGATAATACTGAATCAGAGAACTGGAATATAATACTGATAGATTAGATAATACTGAATCAGAGAACTGGAATATAATACTGATAGATTAGATAATACTGAATCAGAGAACTGGAATAAAATACTAATAGATTAGATAATACTGAATTAGAGAACTGGAATATAATACTGATAGATTAGATAATACTGAATCAGAGAACTGGAATATATTACTGATAGATTAGATAATACTGAATCAGAGAACTGGAATATATTACTGATAGATTAGATAATACTAAATCAGAGAAATAGAATATAATACTGATTGATATGATAATACTGAATCAGAGAACTGGAATATAATACTGATAGATTAGATAATGCTGAATCAGAGAACTGGAATACAATACTGATAGATTAGATAATACTGAATCAGAGAACTGGAATATAATATTGATAGATTAGATAATACTAAATCAGAGTGGATAGTGAAGTGGAGTGTGGATAGAGTTTTTAAAAATATTATTGCTATTATCTATTAATGCAACAATAAGAAAAATCGTTATAAAACAGATTAAATAATCAAACTTTTGAAAGCCTGAAGAACAAATTTCTAATCGGGAGTTATTCAATGCCTAAAAACCAGTTTAATATGAAAAAAACTTGCCTTTATAAACTTTGACCTAATAAATAAATAATTAATCTTTAAATATATGCTAAAAATTTAAAAAAGACCATCGTTTTTTAATTAGGGACTTAACAAGAACCTTTTTTTGGGACAACCAAAATGACGAAATATTATTTATAACAGTTGTAGTGAAGTTTATTTATGCCGAAACATTAATTTTGAAAATTAAATATTTGTAATAATAATTGTGAATTTGATTAACGGCTAATTTTCTGATGAAAAAAATGATTAATGTGATCCAAGTTTATAGAAAATTCAATGATTAATTGATTAAAATCATTTAGAAAGTGCATTCGACAATTTTCAAAGTAAAATTAAGGTAAAGAGGGAAAATGGAAAATGAAAAGTTTCAGTAATTTATAAGACTGGATCGATTTTAGAGTGTAGCAACGCCTTGGATTTTGCTTTACCTTAATAACCCAGTTACACATTTTTGGAGCCCTAGATATAGGCACTGTATAGCTCCTGCTTTTAGCCTTAGTCTGTTGGAGTATAGCAAAATTCTACTCGGTTTTTCTGCGAAAGCTTCAAACCTTTTGAACGCCAGGTTGGAGGAGTGGGGGGGGAGGATGCCAAACATTTATGCTTTTCAGATTTTGCATAGATGTTTAAAAAGAATAAAAGTTTAACAAAAAATTCAATATTTTATTTTCACATGAAATAAAACATCTGTTTTCATCTGTGAGTTCTCAGATTTCACTAAATTAAATAAAGTGGAAAACTTGTCTCCCTTAGTTCTCAAAAGTTAGAATGTCAACTTAAAACCTTTGTGCATAGCTTAATAAATAAATCAGAAGGAAAGTTGAAACTCCCCCCCCCCCTCCCTTGGGCCCCCCTCCTACGCTTACAGGCCTTAAAAAGTCAAGAAATACAAAATCCATGCATAATGACGAAATTACAGTAGAAAGATAAACGAATTTATGAAAATATTAGACCTCTAACTTGAATGGTAAGTATGTGATGGCAGAAGATTAAAAAAAAACTCCAAGCAAAGATTTGAAAAAATATTTTTTTTTCATATTCGACAAATATCAGCTTTTGGTAAGCTTTTTATGCATCCACTTTTCAAATATTTGGGAAAGTATAACTGTTAGAAAAAACAAAAGAAGTTGAGTCTTATTTCTAATCCCTATATCTTTGCAACCCAATGTCGTAAGCCTTAGATATTTCAAACTATAAATTTGGTTAGATAAAAAAATCTAAGTTTAAGAAATCAAAGGTTTATACCATCATGTTCCAAAGATATGGAATTAGAAAATTTGAGGTTGTTGCAAAGGCTCAATGCCTTCGCCTTTATGGAAACTGCATATATTTGCAGGTGGTAGTTTTCATAGATTTAAGAGTATTAAGAGTACACATTTGGTTTCTGCTATAGCTACTTGCGGATATCTCTTGCTTCATAAACAATGGAGAAATTATCGTAATTAGAAATGTAATTTTCAAACAAGGTAAATGTTTTTGCTAATGCATCTATATTTTTAAAGTTGTAATCTCTGTTTGTCTGTCTGTTTGTTTGTCCGATCATAACTCAGAAACCTCTGGACCGATTTACCTCAAATTTTGATCGGGGAACACTAGAGACCCACGGGAATGTTCTGGGTTTCCAAGCTATAGAAGTAAGATAATACCATTGGATAGAACAAATAGAGAAAACACTTAAGAAATATAAAAACATGGATCTTACTGGATCAATAACAAACAGGAAACAGTATAGTTTTACCCCTGAGAGTGGAAAAAATTTTAAGTTTGTTTATTCCTTTATCTGCACCTTAAAACTGATGAAAAATTCCTTTTTTTTACAGAATAAAAAGATTTTTTTGGAATTACAGTAAAGATATAGGGATTTGAAAATCAGATGTTGTGGCTAGGAACTCAGTTCCTTTATGCGACATTACTCGCTCCTAGTTGTGATTTTATTCGCTCAAAAATCGCATCCAAATATTTGGCTCAATAATAAATATTAGAAATTAAAAATTCTGTTATTCTAAATATCTATCTCTACATAGAAAAGTAGTTCTGACTAAAAACATTTAAAATTTCAATATATTGTGAAATTTAATCAGATTAGATCTAAATGAACAGTTCTAATAAATAATTATTTAAAAATGTTGAACCCTATATACCAAGCCTCTGCAAACCAATCTGTGAAGAAAATTAGCTGGGCAGATAATTCACTATAAAACTCATTAATACAGCAACGAACGGAACAAACGATTTCAAAAACACTAGGAGCACAGCCAGTCCTACCCTTGGGGACAATAAAGTAAAATATCGTGTCGCCCTGCAAAGGAATTGAATCTTTGTAACAAAATCAAATATTTAAACCCCAATATCTTTAGAACCCGATGTTTTAAACCTTTGATATTTCAAACTCTGATTATTTGATTTAACAGAATTCATAGTTTGAAATATCTAAGGTCTACAACATTTGGTTCCAAAGATATAGTGATTAGAAAATCAGAGCTTGTGACAAAGACTCATTTCCTTTATTATAAAAAACATCAATTTTTATCTCAAGAGATGATAAAATTGTGTAGAACTAATTCTTAAACAATTTTACCACCTTCTGACGAACGTTGCCGATCTATGATTCCCGTTAAAAAACGTTAAAATTATGTACAACTACTTTTTCGGGATATGCAAAATTTTACTTGTCATGTTAATTGATGCCTCTGATCGGTCACCCGGTTGCCCGGAACCGTGAAGCAAAGGCACTCCACAATGGGTTTGCCTAAAAAGCATTCCTCACAACGCCCTCACGGTGGACTAAGCCAGTGGGGTCGGTCAAATAGGCCTAGGATTAGGCCGGGTACTGTAAAAAGTCTGAACGCACCATGGGAGTTGTCATAGTTAGCCCTCCGAAAATTGATCCCTGTCGTATGTTAGTCTGGTTAGGGCGACGTACTGTACAGAATATGGAACCGGGCTACCATAGGATCGGTTCAGTACACGCTGTTATCTGGCAGGCCGGTACAAACTGGACAAGTCCTGTTCGAATTCAAATTTTCTACGGCCCAGAGTGCCCTGGAGGTCAAAGGAATTGAGTCATTGCCACAAACTCAAATTTTCTAATCCCTTTACAGCCTGTTGGTGTAAACCCATGATATTTCAAACTAAGATTACTTGATCTAACAGAATTTATTGTTTGAAATATGGAAGGTCTACAGCATTGGGCTGCAAAAATATAAGGATTAGAAGAAAAAGTTAATTCCTTTAACTTTCCTACTAAGTAGTTTCAAAAAGTTATAACTCTACCGTGAAATTTAATTCTTTAAATTTCTAATAAAACTTCCGATAACTATTAAATATTTACTGATTTCTTTTCTAAGAAAGTATCTAGATAAGGAACCAAATTTAACAAAAACTGGGAAGTATTTGAACCAGTAAAAGCTACATAGATCCATTTATCATAAACATTAACCGGTAAACAAGTGGTTCAGCTACTTCTCACTTTTCTTAAATATTGTTCCATGTAACTTATTGTCTAAGTCTAAGAAATTAAAGAAGTGAAAACAAAAGGGATTTTATCATTCTCTGTACGGGGCAGACACAATTTGATAATGTTTTTGATAAAAAGCTCAGATTTTCTTAGCCATAAATCTTTAAAACCCAATGATATTTAAATTTATGAATTCTGGTAGATCAGATAATCTATAAGTTTGAAATGTCACAGGTTGCAAAGGAATAGGGATAAGAAAAATTCAGTTTGTGGCAATTCCTTTCTTTTTCATATAGTTAAA